TCTTTTCTTCCATCATCTCTATCACGCGGCACTTCATGCAGACGAAACTCTTTTCAGGTACCCCCTCCAGGATCATGTACATGCCGCAGCTTCTACATCCAGTCATCTTCATTGTGCCTTCCACGACTTGGGTCACTATCACTGCTGCCTCTGTATCTGTCATCGCCTTCTTACCTAAGTCCTGTTAGTCTGGGAAACACAAACCACCCACAGCAAAACAATCCCCCAACGAGCACCACAACAGTGCCAGAACACCACACACTCCCTTCACTAGCCTGTCTGTTCCTCTGCCTGGTTCTTCTAGTCTTCACCCCAAACTCCCCTTGTAAACTCCCACTCAAAGTCCTGTTTACAGCTCTGTTTGCTGGCTCCTGTGCAGCTGCAGCTGTCTGTCAGTTTCTGAATTTACTGACAAAAACAGTTGTGCACTACTGTAATATTTACTCAGAACATGTTAGTCTACAGGACCTTAGTTTAAAATTTTCTTTAAAAATATTTCATTAGTGTGTTGCTGAAGATTATAAAATCAGATCTCTAAAAAATCCTTGCATAGATTTTAGATGCACAATCTGAGAATTCATCTTTAGCCTTAAATCTTGGCTCTCCAGACATGTTTTTTAAATAAATCCTTCAAAAGACCACCCTTATCTAAAATACACATACGAGTGCAGGTTGCCATCGGGCATAGGGGCACCAGTTTAATAATACTGCATAGGGCTCCATAAATCCCAAGGACATCCCTCTCAGTGGCTCACAGCTGTTGTATATCAGAAGCTCACCAGTTTCTCTCTGAGCACCCTCTGTATTTGCAAACATTGAGCAGGAGTAGCTGCTAAAATTAAGGCATTATTGACTTAGGTTCCACAGTAGTGCCAATTGATACCAGTGTCAAAACCTATGGTAGGCCTTTAATGGTCAAGGTTTCAGGCACAGATGCCTCTGTTGTGTTGCAACACATGCCTGTGCTCGCATAAAGACACCATTGTCTATTTCCAAAATGCACAAAGTTTATGTAATATATTCATAGTGGCCTATATTGTCTTGACATTGATTCATTGTATGTGGGGAGAGGGTGTTTGAAACCAATCAGGTTTGTCAATTTTCTTGGGAGTTTAACAACCTACATTATATGTAAACTACATTTTTGAGTAGCATTTCCTTATTCTAGCAGCTTGTGTCCACCCATGCTTTTCTAAAGGAAAGTGTTTGTGCTCTGCGTGGCTATAGATTTTAAACTGACAGCGTTGACTATTGATTCTTTTATTATGAGTGTTACATTACACAAGACATATAAATTCATTACCTTGCTAATAGAAATATGCTGTGCATTAACCTACCTGCTTCAAACCAAGATCTCTTGTATGGACAATGTAAGGAAGGCAACTCTTAATGGGCAACCAGTGCTGTCACAGCGACTAAAACTTCCATGAATGACAGGAAAATATGTACAGGATGTCGCTTTAACATGTGGGTCTATACTGGTCAGTAGCATACCTACGTATCTTATAGGACGATACAGATATGCCCCTGTCTGCAGATATCCATAGGGCACCAGAGACAATGCAACTTGCTCTACTGTTGAGACACAGTTTTTCAGTATGCTTGTGTCATAAATATAAAGGGAAGGGTAAACACCTTTAAATCCCTCCTGCCCAGAAGAAAACCCCTTTCACCTGTAAAGGGTTAAGAAGCTAAGACAACCTCGCTGGCACCTGACCAAAATGACCAATGAGGAGACAAGATACTTTCAAAGTTGGAGGTGGGGGGGAAACAAAGGCTCTGTCTGAGTAATGCTTTTGCCGGGACCAGGACAGGAATGCAGGTCAGAACTCCTGTAAAGATTTAGTAAGCAAGCTAGCTAGATATGCATTAGATTCTGTTTTGTTTAAATGGCTGATAAAATAAGTTGTGCTGAATGGAATGTATATTCCTGTTTTTGAGTCTTTTTGTAACTTAAGGTTTTGCCTAGAGGGATTCTCTATGTTTTGAATCTGATTACTCTGAAAGGTATTTACCATCCTGATTTTACAGAGGTGATTCTTTTACTTTTTCTTTAATTAAAATTCTTCTTTTAAGAACCTGATTGCTTTTTCATTCTTCTTAAGATCCAAGGGTTTGGATCTGTGTTCACCTATGCAAATTGGTGAGGATTTTTATCAAGCCTTTCCCAGGAAAGGGGGTGTAGTGCTTGGGGGGATATTTTGAGGGGGAGACGTTTCCAAGTGGGCACTTCCCCTGTTACTTTTGTTAGACACTTTGGTGGTGGTAGCTTAAGGTCCAGGGACAAAAGGTAAAACAGTTTGTACCGTGGGGAAGTTTTAACCTAAGCTGGTATAAATAAGCTAAAGGGGTCTTTCATGCAGGTCCCCACATCTGTACCCTAGAGTTCAGAGTGGGGAAGGAACCTTGACATGGTGGCAGAGTGGTGGGATCAATTTGAGATTTTTTGGGGATCATTTTGAACCAGAAGCACAGTGGGGAAGGAACCTTGACAGCTTGTTATTCAAATAGTTGCAAATAGTATTCACCTTAAAACTTAAGGTAAGGAATAAGACACATTAAGGAACATTCAAACAGTATTTTTATCATGTGTTCCAAGCATATATTTTCAAATACTAAATTTGTAATAAGAAAAGGAGGACTTGTGGCACCTTAGAGACTAACAAATTTATGTGAGCATAAGCTTTAGTGAGCTACAGCTCACTTCATCAGATGCATTCAGTCCACGGGAATGCAGTGCACCGAATGCATCCGATGAAGTGAGCTGTAGTTCACGAAAGCTTATGCTCACATAAATTTGTTCGTCTCTAAGGTGCCACAAGTCCTCCTTTTCTTTTTGCAGTACAGACTAACATGACTGCTACTCTGAAACCTAAATTTGTAATGTGAATGATATGCATGTTATATCTTAGTGGAATGCAACATGGCTATTAAACCTTAGGGCTTTTTAAAATTAATCTCACTAGGCTTCATTCACAAACCCACCTTTCAGTCTTTCAAGGATATCCATCATTGTAGTTTGTAGCGCTTTGTGCCAAATGAAAATCACAGTGAAAAGATAACTTCCAAAGTATATAAATAAGCACATTTGTCACTTGGTGGAACAATACTGTTAACAAAGGCGTGACAGAAGATAGTTATAAAATGTAAAAATTTGGAATCGTCATTTGTATGTAAAGTAAACTATTGCAAATGGCCTTTATATTTATTCACTACGTCGGTATATTACCTTTCTGCAAAAGACCACGTGGCTTATTAGGTTGGGTTGAGACATGAAAGCTCGGTATCTTAGGTTGTCAATATTTATCAGGAGTTGTTAGTTAATAAGGAATTAACAACAGATTCCTTCTCTGACGCTTATCAGTTCCTTAAATCTCATTTGCCAGAACTTTGACATTTAAAACTATTCTTGGAAGGGCAAATTAGAAATCAATGACGTGCTCACGAACCTAATATCAATGCAGTATGAAGAAATGTAGATCAGTCTTTGAGGAAAAATGCTGATTGCCTTTATGGAGGGTAAAGAAAATGCACAGATTTAAGATTTCAAAGTTTTTCCTTTATACTCCAGCATTAAACTTTACATTTGGATCTCCATATTAAACTAGCTGAAAGTTTGAGCTAAGGTTTAGGAGATAATAGAGTAGTAATGCTAATGATTAGCCTCTCTGATGCCTGAAATTATGTCTGCTACAGTGAGAAAAAGTTTCACATGCAGCTTCTGGGCATATGCTATTACTCAAAGAGTGGTCTCTCCAGAATCCACATTTTTTGGAAATACCATCCCAATGTTCACACATCTGCAGTCCCAATGCTGTATCCTTCTTCATTGGGGCATAGATACTCAAAGATGCACTGTAAAAGCTTCTAATGCTATTCTCGTGACTCATTGTGCAGAAAGGTCAGAAAGACTGAAACTTGCAAGCTGCATGTCCTGTGAGCTGAGCATCCTAATTGCATTTTAATGGAAGATGGGATGGTGGGCAAATGGCAGGAACCAAACCCTTGTTACCAACCAACATGAAAGTTTGCAGAAAACGAATACATTTCTATGTTTGCTGTGCATAGAAGGGGCCCACAAGCTTCTGAGCACCCCTCATTGAAAATTCTTTCAGTTCTGCAAATATCATTTGGGGCAAGATTTCCAAAAGCTGTCCTCTGTTTTTGTACCCATGAACTAAAGGTGCGGTAATTGAGGGTACAAGTTTGTACTCGCATCCATTTGTACCCACAGTTGAGGTCATTTGGCCATCTAGATAACTGATTTGGAAATGGAAAAAAGGTAAGATTGGTGGCTTGGCAGAAGATATGTAAAGATGGCTCTGTGCATGACACTCAAGATTAGTGTGGGAGAATGGGAATCTTTGGTAAACTCTTTGGTCCTAGAAATTAGAAGATACTAGAATTTCCAACGTTTATTATACCGTCGGGGAAATAATTTTTAAAAGGAGTTAAAATTATTAGTTTATTAATTTTTACTTATATTTTGGCCTTATGCAAACTCTAAACAAAAGGGCATCCATTCAATGCAAAAACTACACTGAAAAGAGTTTAATTTACTCCTGCCAATTTTGGTGGTTTTCAAATCACATTTATTTAGTGTTTAAATATTTTTTCTTGTTGTTGTGTGAAAGTCCCATACAAACAACATGGGGAAACTGAGTATGTATGGAATACAGTAAAAGTACCATTACACAAAGTGTTGTCAAGTGCAAAGCGTTTGCAAACTGGGGCGGGGGTGGGGTGGAAGAAATATTTTCCCATCCTATGACAGAGAAAATCAGAGGCAAACTTATTGCTCCACCTATTAGTAAGCTTTGACAAAAGAATTGTGAATGAGCCCCCACACCTTTGATTAAGCCCCAGTTTGCCCCTCTTCAATTCTTTTATCTCCTTGACCAGGGAGTACGGCCTCACTGCAGTTCTCCACTCTATCAACTTCCTTCACTATACTTTCTAATTCTCTTATTTCCCTCTCTTTTACACCTGTCACGAGGCAGATGGAGGAGATAGAAAGAACCAAGACAGCAGACTTGTCTTCGGGATCCAAGAGCAGAGGGAGAGATCAGAAGAGAAGAAATATCCCATTCTACACCTTATTCTCCTGTTAAAGGCAAAGCCCTGTGAACAGAAGATGCTGCTTCTCTATACCTTCTCCTGATGATGACAAGGAAATCAGAAAGAGTAGGGGTGGTATTGTTGGCTCCTTGGTGTCTTTGCCACCCATGATTCTTTGGTGAACCAAGCTTAGACTCTGTTTTAACCTCCCCACCTACAATTAAGTGCCAGGAAATTGAAAAGAGCTGTTTCATAGCTGAGTATCTCTTCACAAAGGTTGCAGATTGCCTGACTAGAAGCAGAAGGACTTCCGCATCATTGACCTATTCCTGTACGGAAGCCGTTCACTAGATGACCACTAGAATAGGTACGAACAATTGTTTCTGCTTATTGCAAAACATCTTGACTGGATTCAAAAGTAGTTATATTTACCAACTGTCCCAACTGTTTCTGTTGCAGGACAGCAGAAGGAGACTATGACAAATACAATTACTGGTAAGTAGTTTTCCTTTTTATCCTCCATTCTTAATAATCTTGTACCAATAGTTGCTAAACATTTCCAGATTTTTTTAAATTTTCCAAAGCAGTTTTAATTAATAGCAATTCACTATAGACACTTCAAAAACTTTCTTCCTCTTTTTAAAATCATTTTTAGAACTAGCGCGCTGATCCTCATCCCAAAGATGTTAATGGGAGTATACTCTAGCCTGAAAAGAACTTTAGGCTGACAAAAACCCCTACATTTACTAGCGAATCCAACCTGATTGTGGCATTGTAGCATGATCCTAGACCTTCGTGATTTTTCAAATTGTTAGTGTTGCACAGGACAAGGAAACTATCTCAGTCACTAATGTGGATTCGTACTGGCATAATTATGAGGATCACTTGTAATACAGTATTACCATCTAATCGTAAATAACTAACCATAGAATTACAGTTCATATACTTCAGCGCTTAGGCACAGGCACAATGAACTTTAATGTAGGGTGTAGTAGTAGTCTTAACTCCATGTGCCCTTGTTTTTGATGTAGTTAAATGCATTTTGTTTAATCATATGGAAATATGTTTGTTGCAGATACTGGAATTCAAGTGGCCTGACTTTGTTTTAGAGCAAGCAAAGCAATAATATAAAAAGGAATATCTGGAATGTTTAAATTATGGCATGTCCTGTTTTTTCTGCTTGTATTTATTACTGTAATTCAGAGAGAAAGTTTGCAGAAGTTTATCCTCATATTAAAAAAATTATCCTACAAAGATAAAATTAACCAAAATTTGACTTCTGCATTCTTACATTTCTAAAACATACAGTTGAGACATTTAACATTGCCAGTTTAATTTTTTTCAGCACATTAAAAGTATCACGTTATACGATTATTCAGGCATATTAGGGTACATGAGAACTAATACAGTGGTTGCCATTGAAAAAGCCAACATTTCCCAAGAATTACGTATGTCAGTATGAGAGAGACTGCATTATTTCCTAGTTTACATGTGCTGAAATGCTGGGCACCTCTGGTACCATCACTTTTTGTACAGTTAACACAACTGAAAGCCCTTTAATCATCTTTGGATGCAGAGCACAGATATTACTTCCATAAATATAAATGAATTATCTACAGTTTAAAACAATTTAAGGGACTTTAACTTCAATTGTATATGCTCCTGACTAGCTAATTTTGACTTGTTAAATGCATATTCATATTCAGAGGACCAAATTCAGCCCTCACTTGCAACACCCCTGACTTCACTCAACTAGAAGACACTCCATCTTGCATTTGGCCCCCACACCAGGACTATGTCATCGTGCCTGTATTGAAGGAAGAGGAAGCTGCTTTGTTTTTCTGAAATGATCTATTTCTAGTCAGACCCTGCTTTCACACTAGTCCCATTTAATTGTGTGTGTGTGTGTGTGTGCGCATGCATGCACGTGTGTAAGAGCAGTAGTGCCACTGAGTGAAGGAAGTAAAGTGTGAGTAAAGGAAGTGGACTCTGACATTTAATGGAGCTAAGTGAGAAATGTATATTGTATGCCCTTTGTTCCTTGGTCTTTTCTGGCAATTGGGATGCACAGCATTTTGTATTTTAGTTTTAGTTTTTCACTCCATGTTCTGTGGAATAGTAGCAATTCTTCTTGTTCATGACAAAGAATCACAGAGCCCCTATTTTAATGCTTCTGAACAAGGACCAGTGCAAGGAAATGGTGCCTAGATTTTGATCAGTGGGCAAATTCACCATTAGTGTAACTCAGTAGACTTATGCCTGCTGTGCCAGTGATGAATTAGAGTCAGAGGCCCAAATCCTGAGCTGCCATAAATCAGTTTAGTTGCACTGACATCCATGGAGCTATGCTGATTTTCATCAGCTGAGGATTGGGGCCAGACTCTTCAGTGGAACTCCCTTCAAAAGCCATCAAAACTATTACATAATCAGCTGAAGGGGCTTCTGTTGAATTACTAACAGCAAGGGAATCTGCATAGCAAAGGCTGAGCGGCATCTTGCCACCACAATACTTTCAACATGGGAGCAAAGACCAGACTGGGCACAGAAACTGAGGCTTCCCACATTGGTAGTGAAGAATGCAACCAATACATTATTCATAGCCAATCCTTATCTTGATCCTTTGAAAAATCTTATACAGTTGGTATTTATCTAATAATTGCATAAAACATCTGTGAATGAGGGAGTAGAAACTAAACTGATTGGTTCCACCTAACCAATGCATTTTTCAATTACCTGTTTTAGCAAAGGAATGACTCTGGTAAGTTTTCAAATAGGTGTGGAATCTGTGACATATAATAATTAAGAAAAATGTTTGATACCAACCCCCCTCTTTATTAATTCATTTATCAAAATATGTATCAGTGCAAAATATCAGTTTTGAATTAGCATAAAAACAGTGGGAATCCATGTCCAAAAAAACAAAAAAAGATTTCCAAAGTCAAACAAAAAGTTTTTAATACTGTATTCTTAGCAAGAACATTTTAACAAAGAATGTGTACTTTAACTTAATATGGTACAACAGAGAACCCATACTTAAAAGTTTCCATTATCTAACACTCTACTGCATATTCATTTTTTATCTTAAAAGACCAAAAGCCAAGCTGAACTGAGCATAAAAAAGCATCAATTATAATCCTCATATTACGTCAGCTATTAGGGTTTAGCTCACACTCTTGAATTGGTCGTCTAATGAAAGGACAATTTTTACATCATTGTTTTAAAAAATGTACACACATTTTTCTTTCAAAGGTAATATATTGAGTATCAGCTTCAGTAAACAAAGCTTAATTTATAAACACAGTTGAAACAGCTCTATGTTGAACAGTTTCAGTGATAAACTGGACTTGTATGATGTACAGCCAGTGAGAACATTTGCGGCTTAATAAAATCATTGTGCCATTGCTATACAATAATCACTACCTCCTTTAAAAAAAAAAAAGTTAGCTCTTTTGGGGAATAATTCCTTTATGTGCTTAAAAATACTACAACTTCTTTCTATCTTCTGGGACCTAAAAATGATCAGTTGCAACAGGCTTGGTTTGGTATGGTAAGCTTGTAAAAAGTCTCAGTATATCTTAATGACAATACGGCAGTTTTCGATGCAGCAACAGTAAATTGCTTGAAATTGTCCTTCAAGTTTCATGCTACAAATCCTTCACGCAGTACTGAAGGCATCAAAGGTTGGAAGGGATGTCTTTCATGTACTATATGGTCTTCAAATAGTGATCATTATATATTTTTCAACAATAGCTCCCTTCAGTACATAATAGTAGGTTTGACGTATGTTCTGTTTTCTGAAAAAAATAAAAAGTTGGTTATATAGTGATTTATATATTCTATAAATGAAACATTTAGGATTCTTTAACCATGCAGTTTAAATGATCTGATCTTTAAGTGACAGCTCTTGGGTTGAGTGTCTTTTACCTCTGGAAAACAGGTGCCCATGCACTTTAGTGATTGGGGCCTTAGAAGGAACTAGAAAGATAGCCTCTTGTGTATGTCACAGTTGGAAATAAGCTTAGTATTCAAGCAGATCCACCTATTTGGTGCATTGACTAGCCTCCTATACATGGTATGAGTTGTAGACTTTCAAATTGGTTTACAAATACTTTTAATCCCAGCAATCTCTCATTATAAACAAACACAGTAGAGACTGGACATTAAATATTTTAAATATCTACTGCCATGTATCACCTCAGCTCCTGCTGCCATCTGCTGCCCCATCTGACTTCTGCCATTCTTTCCAACCTCAGCGTTAGTCTCAAACCAGCTCCCTCCTACAACCCCATCATAGCCACAGACTTACCCCCACCCTCAGCTTCTTCAGCATACCCTCACTTGCTAAATTCTACTTTTGACCCGTTTTAGTCAAACCCAGCCCTGATCCTAGAGTCATGATCCCTTCTCCCCCCACAGCGAAACTCCCTCTTCATGGCAGCTGTGAGTATCTGGGTTTGGGTTGTGCATCCCCTGAAAACTGGTAGCCACTATCAATGACTTGACAAAAAGCTAGATTTAATCATATCTCTTATTTTTACCCCCATAGGACAATTTTAAAACCAAATGGGGAACAGTTTTAGTTCTAAACTTAAAAGTCCACTCCATGGTCAAATTCCACACTGACAGTCTGACGGCACTGCATGGCAAGGGAGCGGCAAGGCAGACTTTGGTCCTACACATTTGAAAAAAATGGAGAATTGAGAACAATGTTTCTCTTCCCCTCCAATTCCTGACTGACTTATCCCCTCTTTGTACCTCACACTAATGGGACAGATTCTTATCTCTGCACTACAGCCCTCGGGCTGCTTTGTAAATCCGTTGAAATCAGCCACACTGTAGAACCTGGTATGCTTCTAGTGAGACCAAATATGGTTACAGCAAAGAAGAGAGAAGCCACTGTTCCCTTAGGTATAGAATCCTTAAAACTTAACTGACAGTTTTTCCTCTGTTTTTACTTCTGTTTCAGAGGATAGAACCATGTACTTAATGCAGTGTTCAGAGTACCACAGAAATTAATGTAGTTTATGTTGGGCAGAGTAAAATGTGACTATTACAGACCCAACAAAGCCTTCTGCAAAGCCGTGCTTTTGAAGAATAAAACTACGCTGAAAATCAACATGGTAACAGCAGTAAATCAATATGTGTTCCTTAGAAAAATGGTGTTTCACTCAGAACACCCCCCGCGCACACACACACACACACTACTCATTTAATTATTGTCTTTATTTGCAGAGACAAACAGAAATCCACCCACACATATCATGCAAAATGTGCTTGTGTATAGAGCCTATCATGTGTGATCTTCACATTCAGCAGCTTTATGCCCAAAAATAAATAAATGTTAAAATACCCACAGAAAGCCAAAGTAATATGAATCCATATTCCTATCCAATAAACAGTGAATCAACAATTCATACAGCTAAACCTACTAGTTCTGATTCTGAAGATGGTAGCAAAATGATAATCTTGAGTAGCATTCTGTACAATGTTGACTTCTA